AGGAAGCCTCTTCAAAGTCTCTTTACAGTTGTTCACTCCTGACCTATTTATTCCCAGGGTCGCCCTGAAAGTTGGGTGGCCAGTTTTCAGCCATTTTCTTTGTATGCATCCTTTAGGGTAGCTTGCTCTGGCATCTGATATCTTAACAGATGACATTGTAGGGTCTTGGGTGACTTTCTTTTAAAATTCTGTTCCATAGAGAATTCTGGTAGCTAAAGAACATAATAACCTTTTTATGTTAAAAGTTTCTATCTAAAAGAGGCTGAGAGGGGCACATAGGTGGCTCAGTTTGTTAAGCATCTGCCTTGCTCAGGTCATGATTTTGGAGTCCTGGGATCGAGCCCCGCATAGGACTCCCTGCTCAGTTGGGAATCTGCTTCTCTCTCTGCCCCTGGCCCTGCTCATTCTTCACTCTCTCTTTCAGGTAAATATAATCTTTAAAAAAAAAAAAAAGAGTAGAAGAGATATATTTACAAGTAAATATATCTTTATATAAGTAAAGTATATATTTACCAGTAAATATATCTTTATCTTTATTGATAAGGAGGTATCCCTTCACTCTAATCTGAGTAGATGTGATAGTATTATTTATTTTCTGAGACATGATCTGTGGGAGAGTTTGGCATAGTAGAAAACATACCATATTGGCAGATGGAAGACACAGATCCTAAACTTAACACCTTTGGCAAGTCTGTCTCCCTGGACCCTACTGTATATAGTCTTTCATGTGAAGACTGAAGGAATTGAATTAGATCAATTTAGTAACATGTATTTATTGAGTTCTTAATTATGTGCTCAAAGTGATGGAGTTCTCAGTGGACCTTCGAGTGTACTGGTGAAGATACGTCAAATAATGAAATGAAATGAATATGAATACTAAGGAAAACGTGGTGTCAAGTTTGGAGAGTGCTTGGAATGAAAGGAGCATTGCTTTATGAGACCCTGACTGGGCTGAGGGGTCAGGAAAGGCTCTTTTGTGAAAAATAACACTTGAGCTGATAGGAAGGATGAGCAGGAGGCAAGAATTGGAGTGTGGATTAAATGTGTGTGTGCACGTGCGCAGATGTATGGGCACGTATATTTATAAATAGTGCTTACTGTGGGGCTTGGCATATGGTCACTGTTGCATGTAGTATGTGTTAATAGCAGGAGAAGCCGTGGTGGTCATTGGCTGTCAGCATCCGATACAGCCCTTAGCAGACCCTTTTGCTGATGTGATGGTAACTTTTAGCCCCACTTTACAGATGAAACAACTGAATCAGAGATGAAGTGACTTGTTTGGGGCCACACAGCTAAGAAGATGAATGTGCCAAATTGCAAACTCTAGAGCTCTCCACCTTTAAACCCACCCTTTTCTTATCTCGAATGTTTCTCCTGTGGCCATCTCAGTACCTGAGATTTCAGAGTTCATCTTCTAGGAAACATGAAGTAGAGAAGTCAGTGTTTGATAGCTTCCCCCACCCCCACCCCCACCCCCCAGGGCTTGCTCTCCGCTAGCAGACCTGCTCCCTCCCCTCAGCTCCCACCCTGTCCTACGAATTTATTCTTCCTTTACTTACTCCTGACCCACTCTAATTGGTTTCCCCATCAACATCTTTCTCATTCTTAGTCTGTATTGGCCATTTTTTTCTTTTTAAAGTCTGTGTGAAAGATTGTGTGAGCTCAGCTTGAACTCAGTGAATTAGGGTGGAAGGTCCACATTATCCTGTATGGTTAAAAGGGCACACAGTCCCTTCACCTCTTGGAGTATTATCTGGAGAATGTAGCCAGTTTGGCTTCTACACTATTGGCTTCTCCACTACACTAATGCCATCTCCAGCCGCATTTATTATAGACACTGTGACCAAGAGACTCCCCCTAACTAACCCTCTTCTGCCCTTAAGGTAGCTCTTTCCCTGCTTCATCGCCTGTTTCATCATAAACCCTCACTTAGTACTTGAGGTTCTTTCAGTTTTCCCTAATATGTTCCTTCGACACTGTTCCTGATGTTATCAACTGCTTTGTATCCCATCACAGATGGCTTCTTTTATGAAACGTTTTATCCCGTAAATTTAACTCCTGAGAAATCATCAGACTCTATGTGAAGAACATGAGGTTCTATAGAAGGAAGGTGTTATGTAGATTGATTTTTTTTTAACTAATTTTAATCATAACGGTATGTTACTGGGATACTTTTTTTTTTTTTTTTTGGAGAATTGAGATAATATCACTTCAAAGTAAAACAATTTGAGATACTGCCATGGGCTTAATGTAATTTTCATGATTAGAATAGCTTCTCTGTTGGATCTCCCTGGCCTATTTTAATCTCCTGTTAGTCCCATACTGTTCTGTAGTCCCAGGGGGACAGGCATTCTTTTTAGAAGAGATAACAGTTGATTTTTCACTTCCCAGGATTTGGCTCCAATAAATCACTATTTTCTTTTTTGAATTTTAACAGTGTTATTGAGGTATAATTTACATTCCACAAAATTCACACGTTTAAAATTCAGTTATTTTTTTGGAAATTTATAGAGTTGTACAACCATCTAACCATCCAATTTTGGAAGTTTTCCATCTCCCTAGAAAGTTCCGTGGAACCTATTTGCATCAATCCGTCATCCCTCCTCTTTAGCCTCATGCAACCACTGATTTGCTTCTTGTCTTTATAGATTTGCCTTTTCTGGGCATTTCATATAAATAGAATCATACGGTATATAGTCTTTTGCGTCTGGCTTCTTCCACTTAGCAGAATGGTTTTGAGAAGCTCATCTGTGTTGTATCAGTAGCTTGTGGTTTTTTATTTCTGAGTCATGTTTCATTGTATGGCTATACCATATTTTGTTTGTTCACTAACCAGTTGATGTGATAGATATTTGTATTATTTCTCTTTGGGGGTGTGATATCAGTAATGCTATCATGAACATTCATGATATATATGTTTTCACTGTACTTGGGTAGATTCCTAGAGGTGAAATTTCTGGGTCGTTATGTTACATTCTCACCAGCAATGAATGAGGATTCTAGTTTCTCTACATCCTTATAAAAACCTGGTTTTGGGGGATTCCTCAGCGGTTGAGCGCAGTCTTTGGCCCAGGGCGTGATCCTGGAGTCCCAGGATGGAGTCCCATGTCAGGCTCCCTGCAGGGAGCCTGCTTCTCCCTCTGCCTGTGTCTCTGCCTCTCTCTGTGTCTCTCATGAATAAATGAATAAAATTTTTTTTAAAAAAAGTTGGTTTTATTGATGACAGCCGTTCCAGTGACTGTGTAATGGTATCTCATTGTGGTTTTAATATGCAGTTTCCTAATGAATAATAATGTTGAGCATCTTTCCATGTGCTTATTAGTTTTTTTAATATTTATTCACATATTCTACCCATTTTAATATTGGGTTGTATTTTCATTGTTGAATTGTAATAGTTCTCTATATATTCTATATTTGAATCCTTTATCAGGTGTGTGAATTACAGATATTTTTTTCCTGGCCTATACCGTGGCTTTTTATTTTCCCAATTTAATCTTTTGAAGTATGTAAGTTTTAAAAATTTTAATGAAATCCAACTTTTTAACTGTTGTCTTGTATGATTTGTGGTTCTGGTGATATATCTGAGACCTCTTTGACTAACCCACAGTCACAATGATTTTCTCTTTTGTGTATTTCTAGAAGTTTTATAGCTTTAGCTGTTATATTTAGGTCTGTGACACATTTTGAGTTGATTTTTGTGTATACTGTGAGGTAAGTATCTGAATTAGTTTGTATATTAGTATCTAATTGTTCCAATGCCATTTATTGAAAAGATTATTTTCTCCCATTTAATTGCCTAGTACCTTTGTTGAAAAGCATTTTACTAAAAATATAAGGGCTTATTTCGGAACTCTCAATCCTGAGCCATTTATCTGGTGGTCTATCCTTATGCTACTACCACACTATCTTGATTATGATAGCTCTGAAGCAAGTTTTGAAATCAGTGTGAATTCTCCAAATTTGTTCTTATTTTTCACTATTATTTTGGCTATTCTAGTTCTTTGCCTTTCTCTGTGTTTTAGAATTAATGATATTAAATATTGTAATGATATTGTAATGATGCTCTTGAAAAAATCGATTTCTCATCCCTCCTCACCATTGCAAGTTTTTTTTTTAAGATTTTATTTTATTCATGAGAGAGAGAGAGAGAGAGAGAGAGAGAGAGAGGCAGAGACACAGGCAGAGTGAGAACCAGGCTCCATGCAGGGAGCCCGACGTGGAACTCAATCCTGGGTCTCCAGGGTCACATCCTGGGCTGAAGGCAGCCCTAAACTGCTGAGCCACCCGGGCTGCCTACCATTGCAAGTTTTGCTCAGACCCTATCAGTCATCTTCTCCCATGTTGTATTTGAATCTGGCCAAATACCAACTACTTACTTTCTTACATAATAAAGTAAGAAGCTGCTCATATTTTTCATTTGTGGTTTCTTTCTTTTTTTTTTAAGATTTTATTTATTTATTCATGAGAAACATAGAGAAAGAAGCAGGCTCCATGCGGGGAGCCCGATGTGGGACTCGATCCCGGGACTCCAGGATCAGGCTCTGAGGTGAAGGCAGACACTCAACCACTGAGCCATCCAGGCATCCGTCCCATCATTTGTGATTTCTAAGAGATAAAGAGATGAACAATTTTTATTATTTTGAGTCAACGATTGGTCAGTAGTTGTTCAGTAAGATTGTCATATCAGTCTGCTTACATTCCTTTTTTTTTTTTAAAGATTTTATTTATTTATTTATTCATGAGAGACACACACAGAGAGAGAGAGAGGCAGAGACACAGGCAGAAGGAGAAGCAGGCTGCACACAGGGGCCCCGGTGTGGGACTCGATCCCGGGGCCTTCAGGATCATGCCCTGGGCTGAAGGTGGCGCTAAACCACTGAGCCACCTGGGCTGCCCAGTCTGCTTACATTCCTAATAATACAACATTCAAACCTTTTCTCTAGGGGTTTGGTCTGTCAGGAAAGGGTGAGCACACTACCCTCCTGTTCTTTCCCCTGCAGGTGTCGCAGCTTCCCTGGAAGTCTCCGAGAGCCCTGGGAGTATCCAGGTGGCCCGAGGCCACACGGCAGTCCTGCCCTGTACCTTCACTACCAACGCTGCTCTCATTAACCTCAATGTCATTTGGATGGTCATTCCTCTCTCCAATGCTAACCAGCCTGAGCAGGTACTTCTGTTCCTTTCCATGCTACCTCTCAAATGTTCATCTTTTCAGAAGAGATGGGGAGGAAAGCATCCTAAGTACATATTTGATTTCTAGAATAAGGTGGCACTTTCAGTGAGCCTGTGCTGTTTTAAATCCTATTCCTGTGTTATTAGTCAACTATCAGAAGAGATTATCCTATTTTTAAGAGGCTTCTTTTTTTTTTTAAATGGATGTCAAGAGAATCCTTCTGAGAGTATTACGTAGGAATATGGAATTTTATCAAAAAGCATTGCTGATAGGAAATATCAAGACAGGAAATGCAAAAGTATACTTTGACAGGAAGGGACTAACAGTGGCATATGTGGATGAGAGTATGTTTTAGAGACAGTGATAATGTTTAGGAAGTAACATTAAGTAGTAGTCTTTGATTTATTTGACTAATTTCACAAGTGTTTTAAAATAAACACAGCCAGACATACTAGCCAGCCTCAGAGAGTCTCAAATAAATTAGGATAGTGAAAATAGAAGCTACTACCCAATTACAGCTAAAAGATCCACAATTTTTATTATCCATTGCAGAAAATAATGCTCAGAAAATTAATGAATAGTAATCATGATTATACCTTTATTTCCAAAGATAATTTATTACTGTTACGAAGCTTTTCTGCTTCAGTAAGCCTATTACCACCTAAAAATATTTGATAAGTAAATTTTCTGATATGAATTTGAATATGTATATTTATTAGAAGCTTGCTTTGTTTCTTCAAACCAAGGAATTTATTATAATTAGGCTGAGCCTTTGAGATCATTTTATTCAACTTTATCATTTTAGGAGGCAAATAAAGACTTGACTGTATTCCCCAAACATTTACAGATAGAGCTGAAACAGAACCCAGTTTCTCATTCTCAGCCCACAAGGCTTTTTGTAACACCATTTTGCGTCCTCTCTCCTAAATAGTTGACTTTGATAATAGAAATTGACGTAAGAGCAGTCATGACCCACAACTCTTCTTCCCTCTTATGACATTCGTTTATATTCAGGCTATAACTATGATCTATCATTTTGTCACCTAGTAAGCATGAGAATGGCAGTGCTAATTTTTTAAAACTTTTTATTTTGGAATTATTTGAATAAAAATATGTATGGGCTGAGAGTAAGATTGCATTAAAGACATTTTCTATATTGTGATGGATTAGAAGTAAACAGTGTTATTCCAGTTTGGGGATATAAGAATTTAGAATCCCAGAATAGACCTACGCACTGGTGCTGAGGTAGGAACTTGGTGACAACTGTAAGAGGAAAAGTAAAGTTTTCCGATGTTTGGTGCCGTCTCCTATCTACCAGATAGTTATTGTTATGTACTGTGTGTCTAGACGGGGATGTAGTGGCCTATTTATTTATTTTGCTTTCTTTTTCAGGTCATTCTGTATCAGGGTGGACAGATGTTTGATGGTGCCCCCCGGTTCCATGGTAGGGTAGGATTTACAGGCACCATGCCAGCCACCAACGTCTCTATCTTCATTAATAACACTCAGCTTTCAGATACAGGCACCTACCAGTGTTTGGTCAACAACCTTCCAGATAGAGGGGGCAGAAACATTGGGGTCACCGGTCTCACAGTTTTAGGTGAGTGACAGGATGTTCCAGGCACCTTGGCTTTACTTAGGATATTCCTGACTCTACTCTTGAACGTATTTATTTCTGCCCATCCTTACTTGCCCTCTGGATCTGCTTGTGTCCTTTTCCTGTCTCCTTTCATGTCTGCTCCGTGTGGGCTCTGCTTCTTTCTGCTTTTTTACACACAACCTTCCCATCCCTTTCTCCACTTCTGGTGGCTGTCTAAAGCTGCTTAAATGATTTGTCCTGAAGGTGGCGAAAGGTGGTGTAAAATACCATCACAAGTGGCCTCTCACTTTTCTTCAGTGTTTACAGGATAGGGCTTAGCGTTGAGAACAAGTTAAATCAAGAATCATATATTTTTCGTGCAAAGCAGAAGTCTCAGCACATAGGAGAAAAAATGATTATTTCATGTCTACATAACACCAAGTAGGCTCCCTACAGTTCTCGACTTACACTTCATGTCCTGGTGTAATCGCAGTAATACCTCCTCCTCCTCTCAGAAGTCTAAGAGTGATAAGTTATATGGTCAATTTAGTCTTAATATTGAGACCCTACAGATTTAGGGCCATTTTCATGGTGGCATAGGCAATGAACGATAAAGCTTAGATGAAAATGTAGGTCTCTTGTCTCAAATTGGTACTTCTTCCATTATACAGTGCAGTTAGACTGTCTCATACTAAATTAAGTCCATTCTAAACATGTTTTATTTCTCACTTCTGCTGTCTCGGAAATGAAATACTGGCCTCCTAAATGCAGACTTGTGGTAGAAGGGGCTAAATTCAGCTCATTTGAGGAGACCTAGAAGTGCTGAGAGGAGGCTGATGCTCTAGATTGTCCTCCATCCTCTTCACATCGCAAAATCTACTCCCTTGTTCCTTGGCAAATTCTTGCCCTTCCTTTTCCCTTCCATTTTTGAGTTACTTGAGGATACTAGTCCTGGGGCTTTTTGCTGTTTTCCCTCTTTGCATGATAATATGCTATGGCCTTGGTGCCTTATTTTCCCAGTCTTCAAACAAAATAAGAAAACTAAGGGTCAGGTTGGAGATTTCGATTCTAGAAATACTGTAATATGTTTAAAATTGTAGAATTTTTAGTTATATTAAAATTATAGTTATATTGCATTATTAGTTATATTATTAATATGTAATTATTAATAATAAATAATGATATATTATTAGTTATATTAAAATATGTAAAATAGAATCATATTTTTAAAACTAAATATAGAGATTTAAAAATACTTGAGTACTGAATACAGAGTACTCATGGAATTTCAGTGTTTTTCTTTTTTTTTTCAGTCTTTTTCTGATGTTTATACCTCTAAGTTAGGTAAATGACTTCCCACATTATCTAAGTTTATTTTTTCAATTTTTAAAGAAAGAAAAAAAGCCTTAATTTATTATATAGATAATGCTACCTTCATAGATTTTGAGTTTTTTTCACAGTGTCATGGTGGCAGTGTTGAAGGCAGTAACTGATGAGATTGTTTTACCCCATCACAGCAATTAGGATTCTCTGAGATTTTTTTTACTTTTCTTACCTTATATACCCTTACACCCTTTTGTTGTTCTTCTTCCCATACCTGCTTTCTTTCCTGGTTCCTCGGTCTATTGCACTTATCTTTTATGCATTCACACATTCATTTTGGATAAGTTGAACACATTTATTGAAAAGTCATTAGCGCATTACATCATTAGTTGGATTTAAACTTTACTGCCTACATCCCCCAGCATGAGACTCCAAGCTGTGGACTTAGTTTATATTTTTATTTGCTTGCGTTCTTACTACAAAGCACGACCTTCTTGCTTTAGTGTTCTTTTTTTGGTAATTGTTTATTTCATGTCCTTTGTGTCCTTATCTGCCTTAAAATCTCCACTGTATTACAACCCAAGTAGTAGACATACTTGAACCTTACTCTGACTCCCCTGTAAAGCAGAATTTAGTTTAAAATAGGTCTGTTTGGTTTTTGTTTGTAAAGTAACAAAGAACCTTGGGAAGATGGTCTTATCTAGAGAGTAAGCTGGCAGAGTCAGTGGTTATTCTTCCTTGAAATATCTTTTCTAAAAGTAGCTTCTTCCAGTAATTTAAAAAAAAAATGTTAAATTGTGGTAAAATACACATAACATGAAACTTACCATCTTAGCCAGTTTTTAAGTGTACAGTTCTGTAGTGTTAAGTACATTCACATTGTTGTGCAGCCAACTCCAGAACTCTCTTCATCTTGCAAAACTAAAACCCTGTGCTCATGAAGCAACATTTCCTTCTGCTAACCATTGGTAACCACTTTTCTATTTTCTGTTTCGATGGATTTGAAAACTCTTAGGTGCCTCATATAAGTGGAATCATTCTTTGTCTTTTTATGACTGCCTTATTTCACTTGGCCTAATGTTCTCAGGGTTCATCCATGCTGTAGCATGGGTCAGAATTCCCTTCCTTTTCAAGGCTGCATAATATCTCATAGTATGTATATACCACATTTTGTTTATCCATTCATCCATCCATGGACACTTGAGCTGTTTCCGTCCTTTAGCTACTGTGAATAATGCTGTGTAGATGGGTGTTCTCACTAATGTCTCGAAAGGCAGTCTGTGGGCATGAAGGACCTTAAGCATTCTTTAGAGGAAGGAGAGCTAAACCAAGACCATAAGAGTCCTTGAAAATATCAAGAAAGGGTGTAGCCCCTTTTACGTGTTTGCCTCCTGGCAGCTGAAGTGGTGGGTCCCCACACCTGTGCCTAAGTGAGTAGTACCTATGAGTAGTACCGGACGAGCCACTGGCCCCACTCGTGAGGCGGTCTTCTGGTATGTGGTCTAGAAACTGTTATCTAAGCCTCCAGTGCACTGAATGTTGATGTCTCCTTCATCATCAGTTGGCTTACAGTAAATGCATCCTTTATTCCTTACTCTTCCTATTGTAGTTCCCCCTTCTGCCCCACACTGCCAAATCCAAGGATCCCAGGATATCGGCAGCGATGTCATCCTGCTTTGTAGCTCAGAGGAAGGCATCCCTCGGCCAACTTACCTTTGGGAGAAGTTAGACAATACCCTCAAACTACCTCCAACAGCCACTCAGGGTATGTACAGTGTTGCTTTACCCATTTAATCAGTTACCGTACAGAATTCAAATTCTGAGCCTCATTAAGCAATTAACTTTGATAGATTTTGAAAAATAACACACTGTATTTGTAACAGCTGAAAATTTATCTGGATCATTTTGCGTTTTCAATTTTTAAAAGAATTAAACATTTTCTTTCTCCTGTGCTGCCTTTATGAATCCCACCCAGTGGTAACTATAAATGGAAATTCCATTCCATTACAGGGAAGATTTAAAATAGCTAAATGGTAGCTTCTTTGTAAAGTTAACTGTAAGATAATCCTTGAAGTTTATAATTGAGAATTCACTTCCTTCTTGAGGCACTACTGCCTATTTTAGTATGAGAACCATAAGCATGATCGTGAGAGGGTCAGTCATCCAGTTTTCTGCTTTAAGTCTAATTAGAGGATGAAGATGGGAAAAAGAATAGGAAAACGTCTCTGATCATGGGAGAACCAGAAGTTGATCACCCCAGACAGGTAAAGATGGAAGAGACATGAGTATCGTCGATAACTTTCTATATGTTAGGCATACTAAAGAACGAGGCCCACCAGCCCTTTAAGAACCTGTAAATTTCCTGTGAGAACCCCAACAGTAATATTAATGGACCTTCCCATCATTTTTTAATTTACTCAGCCCCAAATTCATTATTTAAAAAAAAACTTCTCAGTGACAGGGGCATAATAACTTCTGGCTTACTCTCATAATGATTACTGCAATACCATCGTTCCCTATTGATTGCGAAATTGCTAAAAGTTTCAGCCACACTGTGAGGTATATAGCTTTTTTTTGTGGACTAATTTGTTAATCTCACTATTTACATGTAAATGGCATGTTTAATCTAGCTCTTGTGTTGAAATCCTGAAAACCATATTTAAATTCCTAAATCAATCAATCAATCAATTCCAGATTTTCCAGTAAGTATTTCAGTAACAGTTTACCTCTCTGGGCCTGTGTTGCTTTTTTTTTTTTTTTTTTTTTAAACAGGGGATTAAGTAATCATTTCCAAAGTTCTCTGCATCAGCACTAAAATTCTATGATTTATATTAAAAATATTTTTGTGAAATATTGGGCTGAGTTTGAAATTACAAATGTATGCTTAAAAGTGCTTCTTTGTATGTAAGTTGAGAAATATCTGTAGAAAGAGCCTACTGCACCTTCTTTATCTGAGTAGATATATCAGTTGAGGTTTTTGATATCTTCTTTGCAACGTAAATATTTTTTGGTACTTTAGGTATGAAAGTTGAACTTGAGTGCTCAAGATGAAAATGTTTGCCGTTTGTCATTCAAACTCTGGATTCTTTATCAGAATTACTTTGAATAACTTCATTTATCGTAACAATGCATGTTAAGTGAGTCAGAGTTTTTATTTAAATTTACGTCTTGGTACTGATATTAATAAAATAGATCTCAAAATAGCATATAATCCCAAAATAACATAGATTCTGAAAACACTTTACTAATATGTTTGCTGTTGTTTAAACTCAAGATGCATTCTCTGAGAAAAGAATGTTTGACACCAGGGAAGGGTACTTCAGAAGTCACATTAGTGACAGGGGCGTAATCTTTGGGGATTAGAATTGTCTTTGTGTGTTGGGGCTAGCTTGAAGGAGCTCCTTCTGGCCAAATCTGGCCAGAAAATTAAAATAAAGCTACCATCTATTGAATAAAATGAAAGTCCCCGAATCCTTGCTTATATGCATAAATAAATGGAGAGAAGGAAAAGCATTTTCTTATGGTAGAGTGCCAACTAATGTTTGTAGAAGGAATAATGGAGTTTGAAAATCACCATTGGTGTCTAAATAGTGGGCAAAGTTTAATGAGGAACAAGATATTTACATAGTTCCAAAGTGTGCCCCCACATATTTCTTATTAATTACAAAGAAAGAACTTTAAAATGGGGAGACCTGTCAATACCACCTTAATTGAGTGATCAAAGCGAACATTACCAACACTGTTACAAACTGATAACCTGTGTAGGGATCCCTGGGTGGCTCAGTGGGTTAGCACCTGCCTTCAGCCCAGGGTGTGATCCTGAAGACCCAGGATCGAGTCCCACGTTGGGCTCCCTGCAGGGAGCCTGCTTCTCCCTCTGCCTGTGTCTCTGCCTCTCTCTCTCTCTCTCTCTCTCTCTCTCTCTCTCTCTCATGAATCAATAAATCTTTTAAAAAAAAAAGATATCCTGTGTCTACCAATAGATATATGCCTTGAGGAGGACACAGCATCATTTCTGTGGTATTCTTGTCAAAAACACAAAATCTGAATCCAGTCATGAGGAAACATCAAACAGAGGTGAAGACAAAACTGTTCCAAATTGAAAGAGACTAAGGAGTTAAAATACAGTGCAGAATCCTGTTAGATTCTATATAGGGAAAGAAAAAGCCATAAAGGACATTCCTGGTACAGTTGGTGGAATCCGAGTATAAACTGTATGTGGATCAGATGATACTATTGTGTTGATGTTAAATTTCTTCACTTTGAAACTTATACTGTGATTATGTAAAGAATGTCTTTGTTCTTAGGAAATATGAAGTATTTAGTTTGGCCTGTGCTTCTAAGGTCTGTACAACTGGTCCAGGTTTCGTTTAGTGTCTGGGCCTGTGTTACAGTTCGCCAGCCCCTCCCTCAGTGGTTCTTAACTGGGACAATTTCATTTGGCAATATTTGGAGACATTTTTGTTATCATAGCTGATATAGGAGGGTGCTACCAGCAGCTGGTGGGTAGAGGCTAGGGATGCCACCACAATAAAGAATTATCTGGTCCATGGGGCACCTGGGTGGCTCAGTTGGTTGAGCGTCTAACTCTTGATTTCAGCTCAGGTCATGATCTCATGGCTTGTGAGATCAAGCCCCACTTCAGGTTCTATGCTCAGCGAAGAGTCTACTTGTCCCTCTTTGTCCCTTGCCCTCTGCTTCTCCTCCCACTTCACTTGCTCACTCTCAAAATAGATAAAATCTTAAAAAAATAAAATAAAAAAGAATTACCTGGCCCAAACTGCCAGTGAGTGAATTACATTAATATATTTTCTAATATTAAGTATCCTTGCATTTCTGGAATAAAATCTATCAGTTGTGATTATTTTTTAATAGATTTCTCCATTTGGTTTGCTAACATTTTAATAGAGTTTTTCCTTTTGTGATCGTAAGTGAGAATGGCCTATGATTTTTTTTTTCCTGTCTTTGCCCTGCCTGGTTCAATTTTGGTATCAGATTATATAAGGGTTTCATAAAATGAATGAATGTTATAACTCATAAGTGAGTTAGGCAATTTTCCCTCTTTTTTCTATACTCTGAAATAGTATGAATAAGATGGAGATTATTTGATAATTTTATAAATTTGCCTATAAAAGCTTTGCCTCGCTGCTATGTTTTGTTGGTAGATTTTTGACTACTGATTGTTTTTTTAATGATATGTTTACTTAGATTTCTGTATCTTCTCTATTTTTCTAGAAAACATCATTTTGTCTGAGTTTATACATATTGAGATCAAGTTGTTCATAGCATTCTCTATATGATATCTGGAGTCAGAGGACATGATGTAAAATAAAATCCTGGCTCCAGGGATGACTGGTTATGTGACCTTGTGTCTTAGTTTTCTTACATGTAAAATGGACACAATAGCATTAATTGCCTCACAGAGGTGGAATAAAATTAAGTGAAAACATGCATAAAACTTTTAGAATAGCATCTAGCATGAATAGTAAGCACTTAATAAATACTAATGTTTGTATTATCATTAGTATTATTATTCTCATATATGTTAAAACTATTATATTCCCCTTTTCATAATTAATCCTGTTATTTATGCTTTTTCATCTTTATTTTTTGGATCAATCTTGTTAAACGAGCTTTCGAATTTACCTTTTCTTTTGTATACTGATATACATTTCTATTATTCATTTATCCATTCAACAGATATATCTTAGGTATCTACTAAGTTCCAGACACTGTTCTAGGTGTTGGAGACACAGTGAGAACAGAGTAGAAATGCTTCCCTCCAGAGAACTTATTTTCTAGTGGGTGGAGATTGAATATAACAAATCAGTAAATTGCAATTTATTATCAGGTGATATGTACCTTAATTTAAAAGTACTTTATTTCTAAAGCATGCTAACCATCATCTGAGCTTTCAGTGAGTTAGAGTCGTTTTGCTGGTGGAAGGTCTTGGCTCCATCTTGATGGCTGCTAACTGGGTGGTGGTTGATGAGGGTTGGTGTGGCTGTAGCAATTTCTTGCAGTAAGACAATAGTGCAGGGAGCCACATGGATCCATCCTTCCTTTCATGAATGATTTCTGTGTAGCATGCGATGCTCTTTGATAGCATTTTACCCACCATAGAACTTCCTTCAAAATTGGAGTCTGTCCTCTCAAATCCTAACACTGTTTTATCATGTAAGTTTATGTCCTATTCTGAATCCTTTGTCATGTTTCAGCAACCTTCACAGCATCCTCACTAGGAGTAGATGTTATCTCAAGAAACCACTTTTTTTTTTTTTTTTTTTTGCTGATCCATAAGAAGCTACTCATCCACTAGAAGTTCTATCATGAGATTGCAGCACTTCAGTCACACATTCAGTCTCCAATTCTAGTTCTCTTGCTGTTTCCCCCACATCTGCACTTACTTGTTCCACTGGGGTCTTGAACCCCTCAAAGTTATCCATGAAGGTTGGACACAGCTTCTTCTAAACTCCGGTTAAGTTGCTGTTTTGTCCTCTTTTCCTATGAATCATGAATGTTTTTAGTGGCATCTGGAATAACGATTCCCTTCCGGATTCAGATCCATTAGAGGAGTCACTTGCTATGGCAGTAGTAGCCTTATGAAATGTGTTTCTTAAATAATAAGACTTGGAAATCAGAGTTACCCTTAATCCCCCTGGCAGAATGGATGTAGTGTTAACAGGCATAGAAACAACGTTAATCATGTTGTCTATCAGAGCTCTTGGATGACCACTGTCCATAGGGAGTGATCTTTTGAAAGGA